AATATCAATAGCTAATTCTTCATCAAAGTTGACATTCAATTTAAGCAAGCGGTCCACATATCTCTGCATTTTCTGCAAGTGGGCCGTGATGGACTCTCCATCCTTCATTTTAGTGGTGATCATGGAGGCTATGATCTCATACCTCTCCTTCCGAGCAGATTGATGGTATCTTTCCATCAAATCTCGGTCCATTTCATAGGGCCAGAAGTCCTCATAGGACTTTTGTAGCTCAGCAGACATGGTAGCTATCATTATACACGACACTTTTGTCGCGTCCCTCTCATGAACTCGATACTCCTCAATTTGTTCGAGAGTAGCAGTTTGCTCATCAATTTCCTTTAGCTCCTTGTCTAGGACATATTCTTTGTCCTCATATCGAAGGGCCATGCGAATATTTATGATCCAATCATTGAAGTTGGATCCATTAAAGATGGTTCTCCCTACTAAGTTCATTAGCGAGAAAGAGCCTGAAGGGTTTGAGCCTGAAGCATTGTTTGGGATAGACATATGTAAAAGAAAAGGAACAAAGTTTAGATTAGATGAGAGTCATTAATAAGTCACCCAAATGAAATATTAAGGCTAGGATCCAACACAATATTCTACACTTGCAAAGAGGGATGCCGTAATCCAATTGTAAAATATTTGAAGGTAGGTAAATGACGATATACCAATTTCCACCATGAAAAACGAAATTACTTATTAGGTTTTAATTGGATTTTAAATACCTAGATTCTTTTAAGATTCATTGAACTTTCAATGACATGTTTAAATCTCGATTGTGCCCTCTCAAGTTTGTGACTGGGATGCCGAGGATCACAAACAAGGTGTGAATAACCATGCAAATATACTTGGTACTCTTAATGTTACAAATCACCTAACCAATGTGCCGGTTAACAACACACGCTCCATTGATCTATGATTAACATTAAGCTACCCTTTGTCACTCTTTATTAGTCCCAAATTAGTGTGTCGGTTAACCACACACGCTCCACTAACGACTTAATAAAGTGCAAAGTGTAATTTCATGGATAAGCACTTATTCATATTTTTCCTAAAGTAACTAACATTGAGAATTTAATAATAGGTTTAGTTACTTTATAATTTCATTATACTTTTAACGAGAATTAATGTCATGTTCTACCCGTTCGACTAACGAGCCTCCACCAGTCAAGGAAGCAGTAGGTGAGAATGGACACATATTAAACTACCATTTTATAGGCAGTAACCTTATACCCCCCCTTATAGACAGGCTTCGTGAATGGGGCCTAGTAACGGTAAGACTGACGTTTCTTATATATATAATATATATATATATATATATATATATAAGTATTAACATTTAATAATATAATAGTATAAGGGTAGAATTTTAGTCATTTTAAAACTCTAGGGTTTTGGAATTAAATGTCTTATTAATGTGACTTTACAAATTCCAAAACTTGAGGGCAAGTTTTGAAACTTTTCAAGACCTTTCATATTCATAACCTATGAACCATTATGAGTTTTAATATCCATGAATGTGACTTTTCATATAACTTGAGGACAAGTTACAATAACACATTTCATTAACAATTAGATCAAATTTTTGGATCAAACACAATCATCACATAATTTTTCCTATTGATCTAAGCAAACTCATAACAAGACAATTCATATCAAATACTACATATAATTACTTTATTATCTAAACATTTGACAATTGCCTTTTAAATGGATGAAGACAATCATTACCAATTGAGAAAATACAATTTTTATGATTACAACACAGTTTGTGGTAATGACTTTATCCATTTCTGGCCAAGAACTCGAATTTTCTGCACACAGGAGCACCAACTCGTCGAGTACATGAACTGGACTTGCCGAGTTGATGCATTACTGAGTGGACTCGTCGAGTCTGTTCATGTACTCGGCGAGTTCATCTGTCAGAATGCAGAAAAGTCGATTTTCCAGCTTTGAAACAAATGTGCATCAAGTATAACAGAAAGAAATCCTAGGATCTGATACCACTGTTGGCTTTTAAGCACTATAACACTCCTATGGTGCACATGCAACCCTAAATGCTTTGGAACTATGTTTTCTCTAATTATACATGCATTTTCAAATTTCCAAAGCATATAACTTAACTAGCATAAAATTCAAAGTAACAACTAGTTAGATAACTTACCTCTTGTGTAGTTCTTGACCTTGGAAGCTTGAGCACCTCAAATATTGTGCCTCTAATGTGTCACAAACACCAATATGCAAAGGAGGCTCTTTAGAGAATAAGTTAGCTTGCAAAATCGGTTCACACACTCTTGTATATAGGGTTGGCCGATTTTTGTCACTAAGGGGACTCTTTTATAGTGTTTCTTAAAGCTAGGGTTTCATCCATGAAACCCTAATGCACCATGACCTTCCATATCCCTTAGGCTCCATGGGTTAAAGCTCCATGGACTATCCATGAACCACTTAGCCCACCCTAATGGATCTTTGTCCCGCACTATAAGAATGGATGATTTACATAATCAACCCCTTAGATTTAACTAGTCACTTTTGATCACAAAATTAATTCCAAATTAATTCTTGACCAATACTAATTAAATAATATGTTTTCTCATTTAATATATTAAACTTATAATATATTAATAAATCACCAATAATCTTATTCTCAAAAGTTCATCCTATCAAATTGCACTGGTGAATGCAAACCCAAAAGGACTATGCTACAATCGGGTCATGTACATACCATATATAGTTATGGGTTTAGACACCAAATCCAACAATAATCACTTGTGAAAAGACACATACTTATTCTTATATGAATATAAATATTTATATATGAATAAGTATATACTTATTCATATATGGCTATTTTTCATCGTCACCAACATATATGCCATCCACCGACACCACCACTGCCACTCCCACAATCACCACATCTGCCACCCCTTCCATCCCCATCTGTTTCAACGCTACCACCACGACCCCTCCATCGCAACTAGCACCACCGTCGCCAACGCCACTCCTACCTCTACCATCGCCACTACCTCCGCCACCAACCACCATATTCATATATGAATAATCATTTGTTAATAGACACATACTTATTCATATATGAATATACTTATTAATATATGAATATTATTTGTGTCGTTGTCCCGGTACACTGAAGCACTTAAGCGGCATTATTGAACTATGTGGTTCATATTTGCTTTTGCGTTCTTAATTTCATAATAGTTTTCATTTGAACCTTCCTTCTCTCTCTCTCTCTCTCTCTCTCTATATATATATATATATATATATATATATATATATATATATATATATATATATAAAAGAAATTAGTTCAAATAAAAACAGTAAATAGTGTGAGAATGTAAAAACACTATGTTTATGTTGTTATTCTGTAATGAATGTTGTATATGTATATTGTTGAAGTAATTCTAATATGAATATTAACGTTTAATTATTCATATATTCATTAGAATGTTATTATTCTATTATAAATTTATGTATGTGCATTTTTGTAGTAAATTCTAATTTAGTTTTAACCTGTAACTATTCTTTTATTCATTGTTGAATAATGACATAAAGTCATGGATACAAAATTCATTGCAGAATAATAACATAAAAATAGTGTTTTTACGTTCTCACACTATTTACTGTTTTTATTTGAACTATCCCCTATATATATATATATATATATATATATATATCTATAATATATATATATATATATATATATCTGTGTTGCAGAAATCGGTTAAATCGGCCGATTAATCGGCGCCTATGCGCTAATCGGACCTTGAACGATGAGGTTTATTGCTAATCGGTTACTTAAATCGGGCTTGGTGAAATTCGGTCAAATGCGGTCCTAATCGGAGCTAATTGGCTCTAGTCGGAGTTAATCGGTCAAAACCGGTCAAAGAAAATTCATAAAATTTTAGGGGAAAAATGGAAATCAAAAATTATTTTTCTAGGGTTTGTTACCACTCCCACATTCCATCGTATTAAATTCACTGTGTTTTCTCTTTGGATATTTTGAAACACCGACTTCATACTCACCTCGACGCCTCCTAAGCTCGTTCACTGCATTGTCGACATTGTCAACTTCCAATCTCACCTCCGACGCCATACGCTTCTACAAAATCCCTCCTACGCCAGCCCTTGTTTTATCGAGCATCTCATACTTCAATCTCGCCTCAGAGTTAGTGGGTCGAACATCTCATACTTCCAAATCCGACTCAGGTAAGTTTCTTTTGACTTTTTTTGTACTTGTGAAGAACCCAAAGAATGTTACTGCTTATTAAGTTGTTAGATCAAGTCTATTCCTTGTATTCTCTACATTTATTTAAGTCTTGTATGTGCAATTGATTTTACCAAGTTACCAAGTCTCGTTTGGATTCTCCTCCTTTGATTCAGTCATTTCTTTTGCATTTAAGCTGTAAACATGGGTTTGGAAGTGTTTATTAATTGTTCAGCAAATTGAAGCTTAATTCTTGTCAGAGATGTACATGGTTGGATCGAAGCATGTGTTGCTCTCTTTTCTCTAGTGTCGATTATTGCTTGCTGGATCATCTCAAAACTTCTAATCAGATTTAGTAAGAAATCTGCTTGATAAGTATGTTAACCTTTATAACAATAATCATAAAAATAGAAGTTTTTTGGTTCAACTTCATATGAAATTTTTTGTAATTAGGACATCAACAGTATAAATCTTAAGCCTAAGTTGTTTACCTGTTAAGCCTAAGTTGTTTCCAATTAATTTGTTACTATTAAAGTATTAAGTTGTTTGCATGTCAAGCTGTTAAGCTATTAAGCTGTATTTTTGTTGTGAAGTTGTTAAGCTGTTAAGCCTAAATTGTTCAGCATCCTAAGTTGTTTACTGTTTACTAAGTTGTTCACTGTTTTGTTGGTAAGCTGTTAAGCTGGATTTTTTTTCTGTTAAGCTGTTAAGTTGTTAATTTGTTTTTAACTTTTTATTGTGTTAATGTGACAGTTTTGGTAGCAGGTGACGATTAATGACATCTAATGCTTCCACTACACCATCTGTTGGATCAACCCCCACCACCACTGGTGCACATAAACGTAATTCAGATGATGTTGGTTGGGAATATGGTTTTATCCCGGATAAAAGCAACATGGAGATATTGCAATGTATCTTGTGTGGAAAAACATTTAGCGGGGGGATTTCTAGAATGAAACAACATATTGCTCATGTGACGGGTAATGTATCCTCATGTCCAAAGTCTACAAAAGATGATCCATTGAAATGTAAAAATTCTCTTAATGAAGGGAAGTTAAAAAAGATAGCTAAACAAGTGCATAATGAAGGCTTAAGGGTGGAGGCGAGACAAGAATTTCATGAAGCAGAAAATTCTTTGGGGTCAAAGGCACCCAATGTTATAGGCCCCATGGATAACTATGCAAACATAATAAACCCAAAAGAAGGTTTGAAGGAGGGAAAGGGAAAAAATATTGATCTTAACAATATTGTCCGAAAAGAAAGAATATTAACGGTCCATAAATTCATTAGTAGGTGGGCATATGAGAGTGTGATTCCTTTTCATTCCTTTGAAAGGGATAGCTTCAAAATGATGTTGGAGGTTATTGGCCAATTTGGAACCGGGCTTCCATGTCCTACTAGATATGCTTTGAGTGACCCACTGCTAAAGCATGAGGTTGAAAGAACAAAAAAGTTGTTAAAAAACGAAAAGGAATGGAAAGAGGATGGATGTTCGATTATGACAGATGCTTGGTCCGATCGAAAGAGAAGAAGCATTATGAATTTATGTGTTAATTCAAAGATGGGTACCGTTTTTTTATCTTCAAAAAAATGTTTCGGTGAAGCACATACAAGCCAACACATATATGAGTATGTGGAATCTTGTATTCAACAAGTTGGTCCCGAGAATGTTGTTCAAGTTGTGACCGATAATGCCACGAATAACATGGGGGCGGCGAAGTTGCTAAAAGAGAAAATACCATCTATTTTTTGGACATCATGTGCGACACATACCATTAACCTTATGCTTGAAGGTATTTACAATATTTTGTTTATTTATTGTATTTATTATTTTATTTTTATTACTTTATTTAGTTTTAAAATGTTTAATTGTATACTATAATTTGTTATTTGATCGTGTTTATTTTTTCAAGGTATCGGAGCACTCCCAAGGTGTAAGAAAAATCCTAGATCAAGAAAAAAAACTAACCATATTCATTTACGCTCACCACAAAACCTTGGCGATGATGAGAAGTTACACCAACAAAAGAGAAATTATCCGACCGGGAGTCACGAGATTTGCTTCCGCCTTTCTCACATTACAAAGTTTGTCCGAAAAAAAAAGGAGCAACTAAGACATATGTTCTCTAGCAACGAATGGGAGGAATGTAAATTTTCCGGTAAGCCTAAAGCGATTGCCTCATATAAAATGGTGACAAGTGTCCAATTTTGGTCCGGTATGACACAATGTTTAAAGGTGTTCTCCCCTTTGGTGAAAGTCCTTAGAATGGTTGATGCGGATTGGAAGCCCTCAATGGGTTTTGTTTACGGGGAGATTAAAATTGCAAAAGAAGAAATTATCAAATCTTTGGGTGGTAACGAGAAACATTACAAGCCTATTATAGATATCATAAACACAAAGATGAAAGGTTGGATAGATTCAACTTTACATTTGACATCTTATCTTTTGAATTCGTATTATCATTATAATGATTCACAACTCCAATATGACCCCGATGTAATGGATGCAGTTCTTGAGTTTTTTGATACATTATTTTATGGAGATTTAGAGAAGCAAAGGCAAGTCGTAACTGTTGACTTGCCAAAGTACAAGAAAAAAGTTGATAGATTTGGTTGTGATCTTGCGATTAAACATTGTAAGGTGAACGATGCCGACTTTGATCCGGGTAATTCGTTTTCCTTTTAGTTATCTACTTATCTATTTTATAAAATTTGGATATTTATTGATTAATAATGTGATTTTGTTTCAAAACTGTAGCTAGTTGGTGGGGACTATTTGGTGGCGCAACTCCTCATTTGACAAAGGTTGCAATGAGGATTCTTTCTTTAACTAGTAGTTCATCAGGTTGTGAAAAGAATTGGAGCACGTTTGAAGGGGTTAGTAATATAAAGCATTAAATTTAAATTTTATAAAATTATAATATTAAGCACGCTTAAACTCTTTGTTGTGTTTAAATTTATAGGTACATACAAAGAAACGAAATAGATTGGAGACAAGTAAATTGAACGATCTTGTTTATGTTCAATTCAATGCAAATTTAATGGAAAAAAAAACCAAAAAGAGAAAAGATAGAAACATGGAAGTGCTATTAGCGAATAATTCTCTCTCGGCTCAAGAATGGATTCTTGATTGTGATGAGTGTGATGTAGATGAAGTAGATCCTAAAACGGTTGATGAAGCTCTAGCAACCGATGTTAGTCAAGCACCCCGAGAAAGTCCAAGAACGAGGGAGCTATTAGATGAAGATTTCGAGTCCAAGAGTGAGAGTGAGGAGCAAGTGTGGGAAGAAGAAGAATACAAGTCGGATGGTGTTCAGATAATGGAAGTATGCGGAGAAGAATAGAAGAAAATGTGCGTTTAGTTTTGAGCTATTTAAACTTATGGTGGACTTGTTGGATGATGATTGTGTGCGTTTGTTAAAACTTATTATTAAACTTTTATGCTTATTTTGGAGGATGATTTGTTGTGTTTGTTAAACTTATTTAGTTATTATTAAACTAGCTGTGAAACCCATGTATTACATGACTTAATTAAAAAAATTAAATATCAAAATGTAAACATTAAGTATTTTTTAAAATTAAATTTTAAAATAAAGAAGGAAAAAAGATATTTATTGCAATTCATAATCATATTTATTACATTTAATACTTTACTTATATAACTATATGTATTATGTGGTTTTTTAATTTTAAATATTAAAAAAAACCTAGAAATTGACATGTGAATATTATTTATTTTAAAAATACCACAAAATGACAAGTGTCAAAACTTATGAGATATTGACATGTGACAAAATGGATCTTCATTTATTAGAGTAGACTTTTATGCCTATTTACCTATATTCTTAGGATTAAAGTTAGATTTATATAATTTTGAATATTTTTCTTCATAATTAATGGTCCCCGATTAATCCACGTCTAGCCGATTAATCTCTAATCCCCAGTCCACCGACTAGCTAACGCATAACATTTTCTACAACCTTGATCTATATATATATATATTATATATATATATATATATATATATATATATATATACACACACACACACACACACACACACACACACACACATAAACATCATGAAATCAATAAATTTTTCAGTTTTGCTGCTGACATAATATAATTACCATGGTTCTAAATAACGTTAGGCGTGACTTGACGATAATGTCAAGACTCAAACTCTTACGAGTTGTGGCGCCGAACAATTTTGTATGTAAGGCATGACTTAAGGCACATTTTTATATATAATTAGTGAGTATATATATATCTAGATATATATATATATATATATATATATATATATATATATATATATATATATCTCCTCTTTAATAAATGAATGTGTTTTTGCCACTTCTCACACTATCATTCAATTTGTCAAATGCTATTTTGTGGTTATTTTGAATATTAATTTCATTAATGAATTTAGTATTTTATTTCAAAATTCTCAAAATTAAAGCTTATTAGTTTCTTTTATTTATTTAATTATTTGTTTAAATTTAAAAGATAAAAAATATTTCTATTATAATAATTCATTATTTTTCTAATTTTCTTATAAATTCAAAGTTTTCAAATATTTTGACATTTATATTTCATTTTTTTTTAAATTAACCCATTTAATACGTAGGTCTCACAACTAGTATATATATATATATATATATATATATATATATAGATATATATATATATATATATATATATATATGTTTGATTTCACGCCACTCTTTAACAAAATATCATATTAAGACATATGTATATAAAAATAAAGAATATATATATATATATATATAATATATATATATATATATATTTTTATATACATATATGTCTTAATATGACATTTTGTTAAAGAGTGACGTGAAATATTAGTCTTGGAGCCATTACACGCCACGACGAAGTTATGACAATTTTTTTAAAATTTTAATAATTACCCTAAGCGTTTGGAGCATGTAAATTTTGTGTGTTCTTTTCATTTGGTTGCATCGTTAATTAATTGTGTTTGTAATTCAAAATTCTAACAAATTGTTAAGTTAGGTAGACTTAAAATACGAATTCGATACTCCTATATTATTATGGATTACATTCCCCCTTTGGAATCCAAGAAACTTGTGTGGTTCAAACACAAGAAAACTACGTGTATTATAAAAGTGGGGCTTAATCGATGTATTATGTAAGTCATGAAACTGTAGAGTCGAGGGAAAATAAGTATGTGCATCTCTACTCTATCGCATTCAAAAAACATGCTCTACTGAATCACAATACATCAACTGGACCACTAGGAAAATGACAGGATGATAAAGCCCTTTTTGTGATCTACGGAAAATTCCATCACGCCATTGTTATGACAAAAACTTAAACGCACGAATTTTGATAGTTTCTATTTTTTCAATTCACCCATCAATCATTAATGAAACAATTATATTTTTATTTTCAATTCACAACCTTTGTTTTATTATTAAGTTTCAAAATTACCTTTCCAAAATTCTACCTACTTATTTTATTTATTTTTTTTAGCAAAAATACCATAAAAGCATCAAGTTTTATATGCATAGTTGATGAAAAGTTTTCTTAAAAAAAGTTAAGGTTTTTTTTTCCAGCCAAGTGAGTTAGATTTGTTTTTTTTTTGTTTTTCTTTTTTGTCTTTTTTTTTTGTCATTCCATTTATTAAACGGATTTATACACACAAATGATATTAGTATATCTATATAAAAAAACTTATTTAATGTTTATACATATTAATATCATAATATATATATATATATATATATATATATATATATATATATTATATATATATATATAATACGTATTGTATGTACTTTATATGTATAAAAAATATATTTTTATGTATGTATAGAAATCGTATTTGATACATATAAATTGGTTTTTGTATGTATTTTATGTATACAAATTGTATTTTATATATAAAAATTTGTATTGCATAAAAATCTTATTTTTATACTTATATTTTAGAAAACATATTTCATGTATAAAATATCAAAAAAGTCTCTCAAGTTTTACACATTTTGTTGGAAAAAAAGCCTAACTTTTTTTTAGGTGCCATAATTTTTAGAAAACCTTTCATTTAAAAGATAAGGATGACCGAATAATATGTTAAAAGGGAAAGGTCATCCAAAAACTTATGAGTTTTACCAACCAAAAAAAGTTATGATTTTTACTAATTACACGTGTAAAACTTAATTTTTTTTTATATTTATCCCATTTCTTAAACTCTTAAAGTAACCTCATATGTTAAAGTATATAATAAGGAATATACATTAATTTTATCAAAACAATAACGACAAAAAAATTATTTAATAATATTTATATTATGTTTTAATAACTATTTTATTTTATAAGTGTATTTTAAAATAGGAAAAATCATACGAATGGTCCCTATGGTTTGGGATAATCTGTATTGATGGTCTCTAAATTTTTTAACTCGAACAATCCCAAATTTTTATTTAGTTTCACTTTTGGTCCCTAATAGATTTGAAAAAGCTAATTTATCTTTATATGATGTTTTTCATTATTATTTTTTTTAATCAAGTAAAAGAAATTATTAATTAAGTTTGTGATCCTACCTAATTTATACCTTTCACATCCTTCCATCCTTCCTTTACTTGTTTCGAAACCCAAAAGACCTTCCTTCTTTTCTTCTCTGTCGATAACCCCAACACTCCATCGCTGCCACTACAACTTAGACGAGGGTTACCAACAAATCCATCACCACCCAGTCTCTTCTTTTCTCTGATCTAACACATACACCCCTAACTCGGATCATTCTCGCCCATGTAATCCTCCATATTTGATACGAATCAACACCACACTTTGTTGATAAAGGTGATAATAACGAGTAGGGTTTTAACTAAGTTTGTGGTCCTATCCCATTTATACCTTTCACCTTCTCCCTCTACTTCTATCAAAACCCACGAGACCATCTCCTTCTTTCATTCTCTCCGATAACCCCCAACACTTTGTCGCCACCGCTACAACTTAAACGAGGGTCACCAACAAACCCATCACCACCCAGTATCTTCTATGCTCTGATCTAACACTAACAGCCCCATCTCACATCATTCTCGCCCATTGTAATCATCCACCTCTTAACAGAGTCAACACAATACTCTATTGGTAAATATGATAAGAACGAGTAGGTTTTGGTCCTGTACCGACAATTTGAACCCAAAACACGTATCCAATCAAGATCATTACCTAAACAATTTGTTTCTTTCTTTGCCTGTAATGGTTTCAAAATACAAAACATAAATCTAATCAAGATATGGAACTCGATGTTGACGTTGAGCACCCTACCACATACACGTGAAGGGTTGTCTTAATTAATGTGGAATTTTCAGTTAGGGACCAAGCACTATGTTTAAAGGGATAAATTCTTCAAAGAAATTAAATTATGAAATAAAACCCATCTAAACCACAACATAATATGTTGATTTTTAAAAGAGTGTCACTCAATTGATGGGTTTATCTAGCAGATATCTTAGCGAAAATTCGAGATTTTATTTTTTCCATCACTGGAAAACCTGTAGATATTTTAAAATTAAGTTAAGGGGCGTGTCTAGAAAATCTCTCATCGAAAACCACATGTTTTTTCTTGCTAGAAACCTACTTGTGCATGTTTGATTTTGATATCATGGATGGTGGTGTAGGATTTCGTCGATTTGCAAGGTATAAGGGGGTGTTCTAATTAGTTGACACAAGATTTTGTTGTGTTGATTGATTTTGTTAGATTACCACTACCGAAGACCATACCATAGTACGACGTTGCCGAAGAAAATGATCGTGGAGTGGATGGGAGGTGTAACACCCAGTTTCAGAATGTATCTTATTTCAGATGTAACATTTCAAAAATCACAACAAATTTAAACTTTTAAAAACAACCCATAATCATAAAATGTTTACAAAATATTTGTTTCGAAATTGTTTATCAATATCATAGTATCCTAAAACCATAAATCCATAACAGAGGATGTGTACGGTCAAGCCTACGCCTTCCGACGAACATTAGAAGTACCTAAAACCATAACCAAAAACTATAAGCCAATGCTTATTGAGTTTCCCCCAAAGTACCACCACATACAACATATCAAACAAACAGATAACGGGTCCACAACCTTCCTGGTTGGATTACCCCTGGCCCACAACCTTACGGTTGGAATGCCCAATACATAACGAGTCCACAACCTTACTGGTTGGTTACCCTTGGCACAGAACCTTCCGGTTGGAATTCCTCGACCCACAACCTTACGGTTGGAATGCTCCGGTCTGTTGACTTACAACACAAAGCAATACAGTCTCAACCCCACCATACTATGTCGACATG